GTCGTTACTTAGATATTGCCTTGAGAAAATCTTCCCACTTCTATTTTGCATGAATCTCGCGTATAATAGGCACGGTGTGCTCGCGCAGTTCGAGCGCAACTTCGTTGCGCGTGAAACTTGGCGCGAGGCACTACCGTGCCTCTTGATTACAAACATTAAATAAAAAATATATTATATGTACTTATACTACAAAAATAGATTATGAAGGTTGTGATAAAGACTGCTATGCTATTATATTTACTATTTATGGTACAATATGTGCTACAAGAGCTGTTAAATATTCGCGGTAGATCAATCCTCTTGCGTCATTAGCTAATTGATCAAAAATAACATTATTCTCATTAGCATTGTTAGGATCCTGTTCTATGTCGTCGTCTATAAAATCATCTAAGATCTTGACAATCTTCCAGGCAAATATTATGGAGAACGCAACATGCCAAAATGACAAATGGTATCAAATCTGTGCAACTNATGTGCAAATATTTTAACCGTCGAAATCTTCCTTTAAGAAGGGCAAACGCTCTTTCAATAACTTGCCTCATTTTAGACAAATGTTCATTAAAATTTATCTGTGCCTGTGTACATACAAAAGAACAAAATTCAATTCATCAGCNAAATTATTACACGCAGGATATCGGTCATGTCATTTTTCACTAGAAGCAAAAATATGAAAAGTAAAAAGTTTTACATGAATTCGACGAAAAAAAGTGTCAAATTTACGTCAAAGTTTTCACTTTACATGTTTNCGCCTTTAGACAAACATTATATGATTGATGCCCTAATTTTACTTACATTGAATAATACACAATCAATATTTCAGACACAATTATAGATAAAATAAAAATATAATTTTCCAACATATTGATTCATACCCCAGATAGCATGTGATATTCTCCGTATATTCTGAATATATACTAAATCTCCCATGTATATACGTAATATTCTGAGAATATACTGAGTATATCATACAAAGTATGTAAGATTACTCGTATATTTAAAGTCATTCNAAGGATATCGTACGAAGTAAAGATTTTTAGGTTATTACGTATATTCGGAGTATATTCAGAGTATATTCTGGGTAATAATCAATCAATCGCTCGTAAAAAGTTAAAAATAATTAAAAGTCCGATACGAGCAGTAAATACAGGATGTTCGTGTATAAATATAAGTCTTTATTCAAAAAACACATACGTTTCGGTCCTCATACTTTCAGTACACAGTATTTGTAATTCGTTGTCATACACGATTGACATCATTTACTTTATATTTTAGTGATGTTGTGATCTAATTTGTTTTTTAATTGAATGTTTATTACACTAAAGAAGGTCCAAACTTGAGGATCAAAACGTATGTGTTTTTTGAATAAAGACTTATATTTATACACAAACATCCTGTATTTACTCGTATCGACCTTTTAATTGGTTTTTTTTTTTTTTTTTTTTTTTTTTTTTTTTTTTTTTTTTTTTTTTTTTTTTTTTTTTTTTTTTTTTTTTTATTCTGAGTATATTCTGAGTATATTGTAAATATATTCTGAGTATATTCTCAGTATATTCCGAATATATTCTGAGTATATTCTGAGTATGTTCTGAGTATATTCTGAATTTCGTACGGACATATATATTTAACATTTCAAAAATATAATAGCCATCNAATTGGTGCCTAAAAATAAGACACAAAAATTAAATAATTAAATAAACTTGGATAAATAAATATATTAGGTTGAAGAGAGACAACATCCTGCAACAGCTCTCTTCGACCTAATATATTCATTTATCCAAGTTTAGTAAAGACTATATAGAGCCAAAACAAAGATAGAATGATGCAATAGCGCAAATAGCGCGCTCCACGAATGCAGTCACTGTGACCTAATTAACTTGACCCATATGCTCAGAATATTTTCTGAACATGCTAAGGATATTTTCCGCATATGCTAAGCATATGCTAAGTATATTCTCTATATATACTCTATATATACTCTTATTCACCGAATATACCCAGGATGTTCTTCGCATATGCTCAAGATATTTTTTGAATATCTCCAGTATATGCTCAGGACCAGAAAGTAGCGGACATTTGAACATTCGCAGAATATACTGAGTATATCGTAAGATATTTTTTGAATATTCTAAGAATATTATTAATTTCCAAGTCAGATATACTCAGAATATTCTCAGAATATCCAAATGCTATCTGGGACCTGAGTCAAATTGCCCTTGTTGATGTATGGAGCTAAGCACCATGACAACACCGGATAAGCCTTATATACCTATTATAAATTCATTGTTGGGAAAAAAGGCTTGTTCATTTGCTACTACTGTATGCCAAAGATCAGAGTTCCTGAAAATCCTGGCATCATAAACGGATCCAGCAAATCCGACAAAACAATCCGTGATAATTAAGTTTGCATCGCACACAGCCTGCAGTGTAATAGCATATTGTTTTTTTCTTGTCCTATAGTAGATAGAATCAACCTATATAAATAAAATACAAAATTTGATAACATAAAAATATTTTTGAATGCTTTTCATAGGCGGTATTCATAGTCCATTCTTATATTTAAGATTGTCTTAAGTATTGTTTTAAGATAGTATAAATTAATCAGCTATATTAATATCTTACATGACGACTTAAGGCGATCTTAATTATAAGAAACAACTATATAAATATCTGTTCATAGATTCTTATCTTATAAATAAGTGGATTTACCATGGGTGCTGGAATAGGAATATGAGTTCCGTCGATTGCCCCAATCACATTAGGAAGAGAGCCAATATCTGAAATCGATGTTTTATCTCATTTAATCGATCATCTTTAGGCCATGTAATAAATCTATCAGCAATATTATTCAAAGCAGCCACAACTCTTCTCATGGAATCATGCAGCATTAATTTACTGATGTCAAAGCGATCAGACACAGATCTACAAAAATAAGAACAGTGTATTATTAACTTCTTCTATCTTTATAATACAAAAACTGCGTGTATTTTGATAACAATTTCACATAAACTTACCTGAATGAATCAGGAGTTGCAAGCAATCACAAGACTGCAAGTAATTGTGTGCGAACATTTAAAGTACATCTTCCACTGTTTGCTGTCCTTATTAAATAAGGTGTTAATATTCGCTCTAAATTTTCAAATGTTGTTTTCTTCATTCGAAAATTCATTCATTTGAACTGTTTTCCTGTGTAATTAGGTATTGTTGTGGCAACATAACTT